AACTCTGTGGAGCATTTAAGGAAGGACAGCTCTGAAACTTGGGTACCATGGAAAGGACCCGGACTCAGCTGGCTGCAGCTATAAGTCTGATTGGCAAGAGTGTTTCTTACTGATTTTAGACCTTATTTAATAAAATGGATTTTCTGAGTACCTCTGCAGACTCTGTAAGTAATAGTTTACCTGAAATTCTTCAAGCCAAAGACCTGAAGCAGTTTGATCCAGTGAAAGGCACAGGAATTGGAATGAGGAAACCAGAGAATTCTGTGCCTTAGCCGAGACTTGTTTCTACTGTGCCTCAGTTTTCTCCTCTATAAAATAGGGATAATCATCTGTCTCTCACAGGACTGTTGTAAGAATTAAATGAGGTTAGAGAATGAGATCAGAGTAGCTTGCTTTGTTCACTCTGGAGAGCTGTGGAAGGTTGAATCAATCCATAGGGGTAGAGGTAAACTAAGTGTGAGCTGGGGTTTCCTAAATGGCAGAAGTCAGGTTTCCCCTGTTGAACTTTCACCAGTGATGTGTGAAGAGCCCTTTGGTAATGCTGCCCAAGTTCTCTCCTTGCACTCTTTAACGTAGCTCTCCTTGAAGGCACACCTCTCTTCGGTTTGGTTCTTGGTGTCAGTGAAGAGTGTTCTGAGGACAGAAAGTGAAGCCAGTCCCATGATGGTTCATTTGGGGTCTGGACCAGCCAGGTGGATGATGGTGTGCTCATCCAGTAGGCAGGAGACCCAAAGTCTTGTTCAGGCTCCACCAGTGAGTTCTTACGTCATTGACATCAGATTCCTGCCTCCCTGAGCATTATGGAACAGACTCAAATAGGTAGGGTGCTTTGGTTTCCTCCAAAAAAAAAAAAAGCTGTCCTGAATTTTTGCCTGAACCCCAAAGTCTTTGTCTTGTTTTGTGAATTGTCAAGTGGCTTTTCTCCTGGATTCCTCTGAGCTGTTGTCAGTCATTTTGTGGCTTTTCTGATACATTGTTTTAGGTGGCAGTTTCTTGTCTATTGTCTGGCTCTGCTCTGACCTCTCTTAGCTTAAATTTACTTTGGTTTTTTAGCAGACTTGGGCCAGAGCACACACTTACTGATAGATCCCCCAACCCCATTAATACTCTATTACTCTTACCTAATTAGATAATGAAGCCTTGATGGACCCAAGCTTTTATTCAGATTGTTGGAGTCTAAGCCCTTAGGCTTCTGTTCTGGCCTTGGAGCTGGCTGAAGGAAGGGCAACTTTGGAGCTTCAGGGCTCTGTCTGGAAGGGCAGGCCTGAGAGGTCTTAGGCAGCTGGAATTGTTGATTGGGATTAGAGCCCAGGGTCTTGGAGCCAGGGAGCCTGGACTTTGCCTGCTGAGCTGCACAAGGGTAGCTTTGAAGCAGCCCAGCTTCCAGGACCCAGAGTGAGTCTGTTTGACCATGGCTCACACCCCTTTTCTGGTGGCCCCGGTGGCCAGAGTGTGGAGCTGGTCTCCAGAGGAGGGCCCTGGAATCCCCAGGGAGGTGGGAGCAGAGAATGTAGTGAAAGGTGAGGCAGGCACTCTGGGCTGTAGTCAGGGTCAAGGGCTCTTCCTGGTGGTCTGTGGCGCCCTGCCCAGAGCTGGCTCTGCAGGGGCCACTTTCCACTCACACACCTCCCTCCTGCATGGCCTGAGATAGGGAGGTGGGTTCTGGGTCCTGACTCTGTCCTGTTTACCCTCTGCCAACCCCAAATCAGCATCTTCCACCACTGAGGGCCACCCTTTCCAAACCTCATGCTCCAGGGCTCTCCTGGAAACCTTTCCTGCCAGGCTGGCCTTGATGTTCCCCTGCTTCCCCTGCCCTGGACCCTGAGCTGAAGTGTCCTTCTTCCAGCCCACCTCTTGCGTCCTAACTCTGAGGTGATGGCACTCACTCAGGAGTCTGGGTTTCCCTGGAGCTGGTGCTGGCATTGCCCTGGGGGCAGTGGCAGGGCCAGGCCACTATCAGCCCTGGCATCATGAGAAGGCCCTTGACCTGGGTCAGCCTCCATTTCCTTATCAGTCCTAGGGTAAGTAGGAGAAGTAGAAATGAGGCAGTACGTATGTAACTTTCCTTGGTTGTGTTAAGTTCTTTGGGACATAATTATTTGAGGGTAGAGACAGCCATAAACATTTTTTGTTTGTTTTTGGTCCCCTGATGGTCAGCCGGAGCTGGATATTTGTTTAAATGTAAGTGTGGCTGCCCAGCCCAGGTCTGCCCAAGTTGCTGGGGGGCGGGGGGCGGCAGGCCAATCAGTAGCCCCCTCAGGCTCATACCAAAGCCCCACCCCACCATTGAGGAAGCCAGCTGCCCTGAGGGATTTAACAATGTACTGACTCTGGCTACTCTTGCACACTCATTTAGGCAGTGGCAATGTGGGGTTACAGATACTGTTTGTCCCTGATTCATGTCAGGCCCTGTGCTAGGCCTTTTACACATGCTTACTCTCCTTCCGAGTGGTCTGATACCATGTCCCAGCATGCCTTGGTGGTGTCAAAGGACACAATGACAACAGATTTAGTTACTGATCTTTTGCAGCAGCACTTCATTCCATAAAATAGAATAAGTGTCCTGGTGAGCTGTGCAAAATGGGTTGATGTTATTATAGACAGGAAAAGGGCTGAAGACAGCAGAAACAACAAAGAAGTGGCTCAGTCGTTTCAAAGTTACTTTTCTTGTAAGGTGGGGACAGGAAGACAGAACAATAGAAAAATGACTGACTAGTTTACATCAGGATACTTTTGGCTGTCTCTTTTGTGTCAGGATTAAAGCAAAATAAGCTTCAGTATCACACCTATTGCAGATTTAAACTGTCCTGTTCAGGAAATTGCCTGTTATCTCTTTCTCCTGATTTCTCAGAATGTCAGACCACGACCTAAGTGACATGGAATTTAGCAGGGGTGACTCCATTTTGATTTTTAGTCTTGTCTGTCGGTGCCTAGTGTAGGAACTTAGTCCAAAACAGCGGCCTCTTATAATTTTTATTTAACATTGGTTAATGGCAAATTGCAATTAGAACCCTTGGTGGTTCTGTGTAGACATGTCCCCGTGATGCTCAGGCTAGACCCTCACAGCCAGAAGGACAAGCGCGGCAGGAGGGTCCTCCCCTTTTGAAGCTGTTCCAGTTGTACTTTTCACTGCTGAGCTGGTAGACAGGGGACTGGGACAGTAGAGGGGTAGAGGGGCTGTGGCAGGGCCCAGGCCCTGAATGTGAATTGTGAGCTCCTGCTTCCTGGTCCCTGTGGGTTCTTGGCACCTTCAGCTACAGTGTCCCCATCACACCCTCAGCTCTGTATTTGAATCAGCCTTTCATTCACACCCACCTTCGGGCCCCCCAATCCTACAGGGCCCTGCCCTTCTGTGCTGCTTTTGGTGTGGAATAAACAGCCCTCACCACCCACTCTGGATCCACCTCTTACCAGGCCCAGGTCCGGCTGCCTGCTCCTGTTCAAAAGCAGACCCTCAAAAGTCAAATGTGGGTGAACATGGGAGTTCTCTTTTATTCAAGAATACCAGTGACCTGAGGAGATGTGGTAGGCTAACCTACCTCTCTGGTAATCCTGAAGGCAGATTAAAGCCATCTCCAAAGACTCAGATCCACTGATGGGTTTTTAAACAGGGCACTGAGGAAATGGAACACGGGAAATGAAAAGCAGGAGGGTGGGGGACATGACCTGTAGGGGCTCTGTGCAAGGAGCCAGGTGCAAGGTCTCGCAAAGGCTCCCTTTGGTTTCCTGCTCCTGTCCTTGCTGTTATCTCAGGGTCCTGCTGGAGGGATGGGATTAGTATACTGATGTCTAACTTGGTTTCTCAGGGTCTACATGGTACATGCCTCTGGCAAGTTTGCAACTCCAGGCTGGCTGAAAAACTACTTTACATTTATGTAAATAATGCCCCGTTTCCCATAACCAAGGTTCGAAATATCAAATAACCACAGAAAAAGAGGGAACTCAGAGAAATGCATGCCAAGAAAAAAACTGTGTCCTCTTAAAATCTTTTAGAGCCCATGTGGTTTTAGGTCCCTACATGGCTTTGGTCCTGCTCACTCCAACACACCCATGACACGCACGGTTCCTCACCTCCCAAGTACTGAGACTTCTGTCTTTTTTTTTTCCCGTCCTTGTTTTCTTCCTTGAAATCCACTCTTGGTGTTTACTTTTGTATTACTCAAAGGCCTTTCAGTTGCAGTTTGAGTAAGATGGGCTGACCTCCTGCTCCCTGCTGGTGATACTGGGGCCACTCAGCTCCTGGCTTGGCTTGCCAAAATTTGATACTGGGCATAGGTCCAGCTTCCTGCCCCCTTTCAAAAGCAGACCATTCAAAAGTCGAGTGTTGGTGAAAATGGAAGTCAGCTTTGTTCAGGAGTGCCAGTGACCTGAGGAGAAATGTGAGGCTAACCCATCTCTCCAGTAAACATGAAGGAGAATGGCCAGACTAAAGTCATCTCAAAGACTCAGATTTACCAAGGGGTATTTTAAGAGGGGGCTGAGGGAATGACACATGTGAAATTTCCTCCTGAAAAGCAGGAGGGTAGGGGACATGAGCTGTGGGGGCTCTGTGCAAGGAGTCAGGTGCAAGGTCTCGCCAAGACTCCCTCTGGCTTCTTTTCCCATCTTTGCTGTTATCTCAGGGTCTGGATAGTCTGTGCCTCCTGGCAAGTCTGCAGCTTCAGGCTGGCTGGAAAACAACTTTACATTTATGTAAATAATGTCATCTTGCCCCATAACTAAGGTTCAAAATATCAAATAACCTCTGCAGCCAGTTCAACCATCTATGCTCCTTTCTTTGTGGGGGCCTGGTGTGCAATGGCTACAAACAGCAGCCTCCATAGTGTTTGTAGCCTGTTGCTTGTATGGGTTGCCCTTATGGACCTTGGAGACAGCCCTTTCCAATGGACGTTTATGTCTCTGACCTAGTGCTGTCCCCAATCTAGAATCCAGACAGGTATGTGCAGTGCTTTGGAAAGCCCCAGGCCACAGTGGGCAGGGTTCACATTGCCCAAGCCATCATGTCCATCCACACCAAGCGGCAGAACAAGGAGCATGTGATTGAGGCCCTGCACAGGGCTAAGTGCAAGTTCCCTGGCTGCCAGAAGATCCACCTCTCAAAGAAGTGGGGCTTTACCAAGTTTAATGTGGATGAATCTGAAGACATGGTCATTGAGAAGCAGCTCATCCCAGATGGTTGTGGGATTAACTACATCCCCAACCGTGTCCCCCTGGACAAGAAGTGGACCCTGCTCTCCTAAGGGCTTCCACTGTGCTGCCTCCTCCTTACTCGTGCCCGCTAATAAATCCTACTTCCTGTCCAAAAATATGTATATATCAAATAACTATAGGAAAAGAGGGAACTCAGAGAAGTGCATGCCGAGAAGAAAACTGTCCTTTTAAAATTTGCCCTTAGCCCATGCTGTTTTAGGTCCCATCATGGCTTTAGTCCTGCTTACTGCAACACTGGGAGGGGAGGCTGGCTGGGGAGTGAGGTGAAAGCTGGCTCATCTGGCCACCTTCTGTCCCTGCAGGTGTCATGTGATTCACCTCAGGAGCTGCTGCATGAGTGGAAATGCTCTCAGTGGTGGAGAATGGACTGGATCTCCGGCTGCCATCCCGGTAGGTGGGCAAGGAAGGATCATGGGTTGGGAAGGACTGCAGAGGACAGCCATTTCATTGATTTTTCTCAGTTTGAAATGAATGGTCACTGTTTGGAAAGACAGGCCTCAGACTGAGAAAAGTTATAGCAGAAGCAGACTCTGAGTGATACCAGAGGAGAGGGTTTGGGGAGGTCGGATAGCTGACCTCAACCCACCCTGTCCTCCCCAGTTTCTTGACTCTGCCATAGAAAAGAATTCAAGAGCAGAGATTGAACAGAAAGTGAAAAGTGAAAACAGGTTTCATGTGAAGAATAAGAAATACACACTTCACAGGGAGAGTGTGGGCTGGCTCCAGAGAGAGAGAGCATAGCTTCAGCAAGTTTGATACAAAAGTAACAAATACACACTTCACAGACAAAGTGCAGACTTGCTTGAGACAGTGAGCAGCAGCCCGCTAAAGGCAGGTTTAACAGAAAAAGCATGAAATACACACCTCACAGGTGAAGTGTGGGCTGGCCCCAGAGAGAGTGAGCAGCGGCCCTGCCTTCTTCCTGGATTTAACTTTTATAGTTTGACTATCTATACATATCCACACTATCTAATGAATATTCATCTAAGGGAGGTGGTTCCCCATTATGTAACAGGTTATGTAACATAGACTTGCACGTGCTCAGTGGTCTCTTTGGAGCAGGCTCATTGATTAAATTCCACCAAATACAGTTGAAATATGCTAGGTGCTCTCTAGCACCTCCAGTGGAAGATCATTCATAAGATAAGCTTCTCTCTACTGAGCATGCTCAGCCACAGGGATTACATAAATCTGCCTCCTGTAGCCTCAGTCTCCATGTGCTTGTGCTGAAAATAGGTGCAACAAAGAACAGTACCTGAGAACTCAGAGGAGGGGCTTGAGTCCTAGGGAAGTGGTTTGAGACCCAGGGGAGTGGTGTGAAACTTGACCCCAAGGAAACTGAGCACCTCATATCTCATGAGGAGATCCTGTCCTTTCTAGATCATCTTATTGGTGATAAAATGAGAACTTTTTTTTTTTTTTTTAAAGATGACCGGTAAGGGGATCTTAACCCTTGACTTGGTGTTGTCAGCACCATTCTCTCCCAAGTGAGGTAACCGGCCATCAGTATATAGGGATCTGAACCCGTGGCCTTGGTGTTATCAGCACCACCCTCACCCAAGTGAGCCACGGGTGGGCTCTATAAAATGAGAACTTACTTTTTAAAAAAAAAATTTTTTTTTGGTTTGTTTTTAATTTATTTATTGAATCAAAATCGATTATACATATTTTGGGGTTGAACATTGAGACATGTTGATTAAATCAATATTATTAGCATATATATTGTTACAACTCGTAATTATTCTTTATGTCCCTTGTCCAACTCTCCCCTTCCCCCATTCCCTCTCCCTCCCGCCTCTAATTGCCCTAGATTTCTTCTCTCCTTCTGAAAGAATAATGGTTACTCTGTTAATTTGTTGCCTAGATGATCTGTCCAATGCTGACAGATGTGATCAGGTCCCCCAATATTATCATAGAGCAGATGCTTCTTCTGTCACTCTGGAATGGGCTTTGCAGAGAGAGACATCCTCTTCTTTGTCTCTGCTGGTGACTCTTCTTATGTGAATGCACTCCAGTGGTTGGCGGACCATCTGCGTTGTGGCTGTGGCGTCTAGCTGCTTTTGCAGCAGCCATGGTTATTGTGGTGGCTGTGGTGGGCCACCCACATGGAGGTGTGTTTTTGGCATGCTCCTTGGCACTGGCGGTATGCCTGGTTGTGGGGTGTGTTTGGTTCCTTTCTCCATGCCTCTGGTCCCTGGGCAGGCCCCAAGGCACTGGAGCCATGTGCCTGGTTGTGGGAGAGGGGTCCAGTCCCCTTCTCCATGTCCCGGGTCTCTGGGCAGGCCCTGAGGTACTGGCTTGGTGTGCCTGGTTGTGGGAGAGAGGTCTGGTCCCCTTATCCATGCCCTGGGTCCCTGGGTGGGCTCTGAGGTGCTGGCATGTTGTGCCTGGCTGTGGGAGGGAGGTCCCGTCCCCTTCTCCATGCCCCGGGTCCCTGGGTGGGCTCCGAGGTGCTGGCATGTTGTGCCTGGTTGTGGGAGGGTGGTCCGGTGGGTCCCTGGGCAGGGGCCAAGGTGCTGGCATGGTGTGCCTAGTTGTGGGAGGGAGATCCAGTCCCCTTCTCCATGCCTCAGGTCCCCGGGTGGACCCTGAAGCTCTGGCTCAGTGTGCCTGGTTGTGGGAGAGAGGTCCAATCCCCTTCTCCATGCCTCAGGTCCCCGGGCGGGTCCTGAAGCACTGGCGCAGTGTGCCTGGTTGTGGGAGAGAGGTCCAGTCCCTGATTCCATACCCCAGGTCCCTGGGTGGGCCCCCAAGTGCTGGCTCAGTGTGCCTGGTTGTGGGAGCAGGGTCCAGTCCCCTTCTCCATGCTTCAGGTCCACAGGCTGGCCCCGAGGCACTGATGCAGTTTGCCTGGAAGTGGGAGTGGGGTCCAGTCCCCAGATCCAAGCCTCCAGTTCCCAGGCAGGCCCCAAGGTGCTGGTAGTGTGCCTGGGCTGGAACTAATTTTTTGTCCTTTGCTTCTAACATGGGGCAACTTCCTATGGGAACCAGTACTTGAGCTGCGTGGTTGTTTAAATTGCTGCTTTGCTGCTGTTTCCCTAGGGAAGGCTTTTTGTGCAGCGCAGGGTTTAATGGTTGGTATTATAGGTACTTCCGGCTCTCCAGAGACCTGGTGGATCTGTGTTCTGTAGAATCTCTGATCTGGACCTGAGTTTTTTCATCAAACTGCACCGCATGCAATTCTGTATTCCTGACCAGTCTCCTCTGCGTGGTCCTGTGCTGAATGGGGGGCAGCTCACCTGTCCTTGCTGTGTCCCAGTGTTCCCCTGGTGGGCACGTCTCCCACACCGCCCGTGCTGCAAACACTTCCCATGGGATGGGCCCATGGTTTCTTGCAATGACTCACCAGCCTCTGAATGGCTCCCTTTTTTCAGTTGTTCTGGCTCCTCGCTCCTGCGTGGGTCAGTGGGAACCCTATTAGTGGGCTTGCTGTCCTGGGGGCCCCCAGGGCCCTCTTCTCTCTCGCTGCCTCCAAGTAACTCCACCTGAAGGGCACAGCTGCGACTTCTGCCAGCTCCTGCTCCATGCGCTCATCAGCTCGAGCCTTAAAGCAGCCGCGGCCCAAACTGCTCAGAGCAGCTTTTTCTTTCTCTCATCATAGATTCTCCCGCCTTCATGAACTCCATAGGTCTCTCCTCCTCTTCCCCTGAGCTCAAGCGGCCCCGGCTTGGCTGATGTTACATTTTTATAGTTGTAAATTTGGTTGATTTGTGGGAGAGAGTGACGCTGTGGACCACCTATTCCGCCATCTTGATTGGATCCCTGAGAACTTACTTTTAAAAATTGCAAATGTAAGATAGCTTTCCATTCAGCCCAGGATTGGATTTCCATTCAGCCTTTCAGCCCTCTGCCCTTAGGCTGTGATTTGGTCACAGTTTGGCCAATGCATCAAATTGGTCAGAAAGAGATACTCCCAGGCATTGGTTTGTTGTTTCAGTAATCGGGGTAAGTTGGTAGCTTATACATACCTTTGAACATTTACTGTTTTCCAGGATTTTTTAAACATAGTTGTTAGTGACCGGTTCACCAGAGCCCCCTCAGACCCTCCTGAAGAGCCCTTTGCACCCTGCTGGGCCCTGGGCTGTCTTGGGCACTCCGTGGACTGAGCTCTGTCACCTCCTTTGAGAGGCAGGAGCTCAGGCAGCTTTTGGGTTGGTCCCTCAGTGGAATCCTGAGGTTGCTTTGGGGGAGAAGCCAGGATTTCCCTTTCTTCCCACTGCTGCTCCCCATTCAGAGAACTTTCTGCTTGAAAGGAACCGTAGCCTTCAGACATGTCCCTTTTCCCCTCTTGGCACTGGAGGGTCCAGCTCCACCTGTTTCACAGTTGGCTTTCATACAAACTGCCCCCTGCCACAAAACCCCCACACCCATGTTGCCTTTCCCATCCCACCCCAGGGCCCTCCAGAGCTGGGGCAGAGCCCTGGGCCAGCTCAGCCTTCTAACAAGGACTGACTCCTTGAGGGTATGCCATATTTATCTCTGCATCCCCTAGCCCAACACATAGTAGCTGTTCAGATGAAGGAAGTGTTTGTACTTTTTATATAATATGCTGATAATATCTTGCACTTAAAAACACATTTAAAATTGTAGTTCTTCAAGATTAAAGACTTTTAAGCTTCAGAGGACACTATCAGGAAAGTGAAAAGACAACTCAAAGAATGAGAGATGTTTACAAATCATATGTCTGATAAGGGTCTAGTATCCAGAATATATTAAGAACCCTTACAGCTCAACAATAGAAAGACAAATAATCCAATTATAAAATGGGCAAAGGATTTGAATAGATATTTCTCCAAAGAAGATACACAAATGGACAATAAATGAAAAGATGCTTAACATCATTAGCTAGAACGACTATAATAATTTAAAAAAAAAACTAGACAGTAACAAATGTTGGTGAGGATGTGGAGAAATCCATAGCTGGTGGGAATGAGAAATGGGGCAGCTACTTTGTAAAACAGTCTGGCAGTTCTTCAACAGGTTAAATATAGTTACCATATGATCCAAAATTCTACTCCCAGTTATGCATCCAAGAGAATTAAAAACATATGTCCACACAAAAACTTGTACCTAAATGTTTGTAGCAGCATTATTTGTAATAGCCAAAGAGTGGAAACAACTCAAATGTCTATTAGCTGATGAATAGATAAATAAAATGTGGTGTATCCATGCATGGAATATTATTTGGTAGTAAAAAGGAATGAAGTTCTTTTTTTTTTTTTTGTCTTTTTTCGTGTCCGGCAATGGATCGCAACCCTCAGTGTCGCGCCCGTACCGGACTGGGACCGGCAACGGGATCGCAACCTTCGGTGTTGCCCCCACACCTCGCTCAGCCAGTGAGCGGGAACCGGTCTGTATGTGGGATCCCAACCCTCGGCGGGAGCGCCACCACGCTCCCAAGCGGCGCACTGTAGCAGTGCGCCACCGGGCTGGCCCAGGAATGAAGTTCTGATACATGCTACATTGTGGATGAACCTTGAAAATATTATGCTAAATCAAAGAAGCCACACACAAAAGGTCACGTTTCATGATTCCATTTACATGAAATGTGCAGAATAGGCAAATCCGTAGAGACAGAAAGTAGACTAGTGATTAGCAGTCACTCCCTATTCCCCTCTCTCCCAGCCCCTGGCAATCACTAATACACAGTGTTTCTTTTTGAAGATGATGAAAATCTTCTAAAATTAGATAATGGTGATGGTCGCACAATCCTGCGAATATAATAAAACTATAGACCTGTATACTTTTTTATTTTTTCCTGCTGCTGTCTGGTAAGGGGATCTGAACGTTTGACCTTGGTGTTATCAGAGCTACACTCTACAGAGTGAGTTAACCGGCCAGCCAGAACGGTACACTTTATTTTATTTTATTTATTTTTTCCTTTTTTGTCTTTTTTTGTGTCCGGCAACGGATCGCAACCCTCAGTGTCGTGCCCGTACCGGACTGGGACTGGCAACGGGATCGCAACCCTCGGTTCTTCACCCGCACGATGCTCAGCCAGTGAGCGAGAACCGGTCTGTATGTGGGATCTGAACCCTCGGTGGGAGTGCCGCCGCACTCCCAAGCGGCGCACTGTAGCAGTGCGCCACCGGGCCAGCCCCTGGAATGGTACACTTTAAATGGGTAAATTTTATGGAATTAAAGCTGTTATTTAAAAAACACATTTAACTTTTCAAAGAATATTAACATTTAGTTTTGGTTAAAATCAAAATGAAAGAGTAAACATTTATTCATAATCCTGTTACCCAACAATTCAAACCAGTTTTTCTGCAAACCCTCCCAGCCCTTTTCCAAACACTTATGTAAGTTTGACATACTTACAATTATTACTGAACAATTTGTACTCTATATTTCCAAAAAGACTTTATGTATTTTTTTTTAACTTTTCTTTCTTTCTCTCTCTTTTTTTTAAATTAATTTATTTTTTTGGTGGCTGGCCAGTACAGGGAGTGAACTCTGGACTAAAGGAGTAGGGTTTTTAAATTTTATTTATTTATTTATTTTTGTCAGCTGGCCAGTACAGGAATTAAACCCTTTACCGTGGTGTTATCAGCACCCACTGTAACTGAGTGAGCTAACCAGCCAGAAGACTTTATGTCCATTTTGTAATGTATTTAGTTAACATTTATTGAGTACTTATATGTGCCAGGCACAGTGCCAAGTGATGAGGACACAAGGATGAATAAAAAATAGGAGCAGTCCCTCCAGTGCTGTACAAGAGGAAGTATTATTTCCATTTAACAGATGAGGAAATTGAGGCTCAGAGAGGTTAAGTGAAATGTCTGACGTGACCCAGATTACTGACAGAGCTGGGACTGAACCTACGCCTCTGGCTCCTGGGCCTAGGATCTTTCTTTTTTTTTCTAAACAGATGACCGGTAAGGGGATCTTAACCCTTATCTTGTTGTTGTCAGCACCACGCTCACCCATTGAGCAACCCGGCCATGGGATCTTTCTTAATGTAGATGATGCTCCTGTTTTCTTGATGTTGTTCTAAAGTAGCAACTTTTGCCTCTTAGCTTATTGATTCTCTGCACAACTTTAATTATGTAAATAAGGGTGGAAGTCTCACCCCTGTCCTAGATGGAGTTACCCAAGCTCCTGTAGCTGTAACTGTGATAGAGCCCGTATTTAAAAACAAGTTTATGTGGCCGTAAGTTCATTGAGGTTCAGTTGAGACAACAGAAAGGATCCATAATGAAGGATATGCAAAACAACAGTAACAGCGTTTATCTCTGGGTGGTGTAAGTGTGTGATTTTCTTTTTCTTCTCTATGCTTTGACTCTATTTGCTATAATTAACATGTGCTAATTTTGCAGAAGGCATCTGTAGATGCGTACATAGATGTGTATGCTCTTGTGGTTGCACATATATTTGGCAATAGGCAGAATCACATTCCAGGGTCTCTCCGTAAGATTTTCCTTTAAAGTCTGTGTTCTGTTTGACACTGCCTAGGTCATCAAGAAGAAGCTAGTGGGATCCGTGAAGTCATTGCAGAAGCAGTATGTGTCCCTGGACACGGTGGTCACTAGTGAAGACGGAGATGCCAACACCATGTGCAGTGCCCTGGAGGCTGTGTTTATCCACGGCCTTCATGCCAAGCACATCCGAGCTGAAGCTGGAGGAAAGAAGAAGAAAAGTGCCCACCAGAAACCTCTGCCTCAGCCTGTCTTCTGGCCCCTTCTGAAAGCTGTCACCCACAAGTGAGATCACCTGGAGAAGTATTGGGGAGGAGTTTCAGAGTGTGGGATGGTTGGCTATTCCTCTCCAGCTGTGTGGGAAGCCAACAGAGACACCCTGTGTTCTAGTGCAGACACAGGGTGAGGTGGGGTGGAGAGTGTCTCATAGAAAGGTGTACCTCTAGGGCCGAGCCCGTGGTGCACTCGGGAGAGTGCGGCGCTGGGAGCGCAGCAGCGGTCCCGCCGCGGGTTCGGATCCTATATAGGGATGACCGGTGCGCTCATAGCGCTCACTGGCTGAGCGCGGTGCGGCCGGTCTCAAAAAGGACAAAAAAAAAAAAAAAGAAAGGTGTACCTCTAGACCAAGCTTCCCAGCTGCTGTACCTGTAGATCTTGAGACCCTCGGTCCTCAGGCAAGAGCTTGTGGCTGCTTTCAGCCACTGGGCTGGGTTGCCTTTAGTAAGAGCAGCCTTTCTTGCCACAGTATGGTAGAGTTAGGTAGTAGCAACAGGGGTTGTATGGCCTGCAAAGCCTAAAATATTTGCTATCTGGCCCTTTACAGAAAAAGGTTGTTGATCCTGCCCTAGAATATTTGAACATTTGTGTTCTAAATATTCTATTCATAAAGAGGTATGGGTTTTGGTTTTTAAGTAAAAGTGGAATTCAGGTAGAGCATCTGAATACTCACCCTGGGACACTTGTCTTTTTGGCCTTGCCCCTAACTACCCAGGCTTTTGAGCAAGTACCTGGCACTATGTCTCTAAGAGCTAATAAATGCCACCCTCATCCCAACGGTGCCTTTTCAGTCTCTGGTCTTCCTTCCTATGCCTACTGCCACTGCCCTGTCTCAGGTTCATACGTGTCTCCTGGGTGACAGTGGCTTTCTTATTGTTCCCCTTATCTCACTCTGCACAGGGGACTGTGGTAGTTCAGAGGGGCATTTACATCAGACTGAGGGATTCAGGAACGGAGTTTGGTGCACCTGGGGTCTGATCTCATTATCCAGAGTAATCCACCCTCAACATAGTTGTGGTTCTGTGCAAAAACCTCCAGCCCACAGGCTCCCAAATGGTAGCCTGGGGTCTGATTCCCCAGAATCTGTATCCTGATCAAGTTCCCTAGGGGATCCCACAGCCAGGTGTGAGAACCCTTGTCGTGCATTGCCCCAGCTGTTGATATTCAAGACCCTCCATTACCTGACTTTGCAACCGAATCACCCACTCTTCCTCCACGTGTGGTAATTGGAGTGCTCCCCACTCCTGCTGCAGGCCAGTTGCTCTCCTGCCCTTTATGCCTTTTTTCTGTCTGTTTCTTATGCCTAGTAGGATCTCCTTCCATCTTTGCCTCTTGAAATCCCTCAGGGCCTGGCTCAGATATTGCCCTTTCTATGGCATTTTTCTTATTCCCACCCAGGAATGATTACTCAACCCCCCGCTCTGTCTCTATGAACAGAACGGCTTGCCTCGATGTGTCCTTGAAAGGCAGTTACTTGGACTGAGGGCAGGGACCATGTCTTTATCACAGCTCCCAGGAGTTTGTACCTAGGGGTTCAGCAAACAAGTATCGAATGAGCAGGTGATGGCAGGGGTCCAAGGGGTAGTTTTTCTTGTTGTTTTTTGTTTGTTTTTTCCCAAGATGACCGGTAAGGGGATCTTAACCCCTGACTTGGTGTTGTCAGCACCATGCTCAGCCAGTGAGCTAACCGGCCATCCCTATACAGGATCCGAACCCATGGCCTTGGTCTTATCAGCACTGCAATCTCCCGAGTGAGCCACGGGCTGGCCCGGCAAGGGGTAGTTTTAATGAACTTGGAAATTATCCTTCATGACATAACCTTGAAAATTGGGAGTTGTAGTTCAATATTTCTGTATTCCTCTTAAAACACTATCATCCAAGAATTTTTCATGCCTGTATAGATATTTGTAGTCATTATTATTGGTTCTTGCTACCCAGTGGATAAAACAATATCAGTGATTTCAGTGATTTGAGGTAGTTTTTGGAAATGAGTCTGTTCTTTGCCTTCCCAGACACATCATCTCGGAATTGGAGCATCTGATCTTTGTCAACACAGACGTGGGCCGCTGCCGGGCATGGCTGCGGCTGGCCCTCAACGACGGCCTGATGGAGTGCTACCTGAAACTGCTCCTCCAGGAGCAGGCCCGGCTGTGCGAGTACTATCAGCCCACAGCCCTGCTTCGAGACGCCGAGGAGGGCGAGTTCCTCCTCAGCTTCCTGCAGGGGCTAACGTCCTTGTCCTTTGAACTCTCCTACAAGTCTGCCATCTTAAATGAGTGGACGCTCACCCCATTGGCCCTCTCTGGGCTTTGCCCACTCTCTGAGCTTGACCCTCTCACTACCTCTGGCGCGGAACTACAGCGAAAGGAGTCTCTGGATTCAGTTTCCCATTCCTCAGGTTCAGAGGACATTGAAGTCCAGCACTCAGGCCATAAGATCCAGCAGAGTAGGAAGCTCACTGCCTCCTCGCTCAGCCTGGACACAGCCGGTTCATCGCAGCTGTCCTGCAGCCTAAACTCTGATAGCTGCCTACTCCAAGAGAATGACTCCAAGAGTCCAGACCATTCTGAGGAGCCCATGTCCTATGACTCTGACCTGGGCATAGCCAATGCTGATGATTCAGACCGATCTCTTCAAGAGTGAGTGTTCCTCCCACGCCCCTGACCTCCCTCTGTACTCCCTTCCTTTCTGTTGCACATGATTGTCTGCCACTGAACTCCATCAGTGTATAAAGAAAGTCAAAGCAGACTGTGTTTCTCTTTGGAGACTGGAGTTGCTGGGAGCTGCAATGGAGGCAGCATGGACACAGCAGGAAGGAAGGATTTAGAAGGGCTCAAGCTGGCTCACGCTGCAGCTCTGCCCCTGGGTGGCCTTTGACAAGCCACTTAGTCTCTCTGAAGAAGATACTACTGTCTTCTTCATCCAGGGGGAAAGAGACTAATGGTTCAGATCATATGTACAACTTCTGACAAATGCAGTAAAGCATAATGCATGCAGGTGTGACCTCACAGAAGACCTGGGATAGCTAAAACCTGAGTGATGCTTGGAGGGGTGGTGTATAATGGGGACAAGCGAGTGTGTGCAAGAGTATGTGCAGCAGACTAACTCGACTGGACAGGGGGGCTGGGCAGAGCCTTCTATACACAGCCTTCCTCAAAAATTAATTTTTGGTGGCTGGCCAGTTAGGTCATTTGATACAGCATGGTGCTGGTGACACCAAGGTCAAAGGTACAGGCCAGCCACCGAACTAAAAAAAATAATTTTTGAATAACCTTTTTATGGTTAAAAAAATGACACATGTACAGTGAGAGGTCTTTCCCATTCATGTCCCCATCCAGTGTCTTCTTTTTCCCTTCCACCCCCTTGACTGTAATTGTTAATTTTTTGCATATTCTTTCAGAGTTTCTAAATGCATCCACAACAAATACCCATATATAGATTTAAATATTTCTTCCTTATTTCTTACTCCCACCCACATCTTTTCCACAAAAAGTAGTATTTATATACTGTTCTGTAGCTTGTTTTGGAGATCTGTTCATATCAGAGCCTCTTCTGTTTTTTTTTTTTTTTTTTTTCCCATTGCACATTGTTTCATTGTATGAAAGTACCTTAGTTTTTTGGCATGTTTTTGCAACTGGCTCTGTACCTTAGTTTTTTTAATTGGCCCTGTATTTAATGGACAATGTAGTACATTGTTTCCCTAAATAATCTCGTGTATATGGTCTCCTAGTTCTATGCAAGTATTTCTGTTCATTTAACCCAGAAGCAAAATTGCTGGGCCCAAGGAAAAGTTAATTTGTAATTTTCACAGACATAGATTGAACATCCCTCACCCAAAAATCCAAAATCTGCAATGTTCCAAAATCCAAAACTTTTTGAGTGCCAATATGACACTCAGACAAAATGCTCATCGGACCATTTCAGATTTCAGATTTTTGGATTACAGATGCTCTACCATTAAGGATCTGCCAATATTCCAAAGTCCAAAATAAATAATAATCTGGAAACACTTCTGGTCCCAAGCATTTGTGAGAAGGGATATTTAACCTGTGCTGCCTATTCACACTCCACGGGAATATACCTACATCCTCTCAGCCTTGCCAACAGAAGGTATTATCAGACTTTTGGATATCTGCTTATCTGAAAGGTGAAAAATGATAACCTTTTATTAAGGGCCTCCTTCAGTCGGACCCATGTTCCATCAGCCCGAGTTTAAGACCTTCTTTTCCATTCCTGCTGCCCCCCTCACCCCTCCGCCCACGTTCAGTTCCTTCCAGGTTTCCCACGCAGTGTGAGAATAGCACCAGGATTGGGTGCTATTCCAGGCTGGGCTTGGAGCAGACCTGTTTTTGAGTCCTGTTCCACCACTTGCAAGTCCAGTAGTGTCAGGCAAATTGCTAACTCTTTCTGAAGCTCTGTTTCTTCATCTTTAATATGGAGATTCCCTCATAGGGCTGTTTGAGAATCAAATCAAATGCCTGTCAGTTGCACACATGAGAATGTAGGCCCCAGAAATGGCTTCTGATCACTGAGCACATTAGATGGAGTTTTCAGATGTCAAATGGAGGAATTTAGATAGAACACACTGGAGAGGAGCAGTCCTTGCCTTCAGAGATAGCTGGCCTGTGGCGTGACTTAGGCGCGTGGTGTAACTTAGGTTCACTCACCTGTCTTAGCTCTTAATGTATCTCTGTCTCCTTCACAGACCAGCCAGCCTTCTCTTTGTCATGTGCCTTGCCTTTATCTCTCATGAGTCTTATGATTGGAAAATTCCAGCTTAAGGTCATTGAATCAGTAACCATCCACCCTATGTGGGAAGTGTTATCCTGGGTGTTACGGGGGAGCTCACGGGGCAAGGGTCAGGATGTATAGATGAATACTGGACAGTGAGGTGAGGAACTGGCAAACATGAAACACAGATGCACAACCACATGTCCAGTGCCATCATTGTTAGAGCTGGGCCTCGAAGCTGGTCTTTGAGCATCCACAGAGACCAGCATTTCTTGGAGCGTATATTTTAAGGGTAAAAGATTCTCACTAACACTTAGAGTTTACTAAAGTTATTATTATATTGCTTAAATATCTGTAGCTTGAAATTAGGTATAAATACCTTGTGCTTATTGTTTCAAGTATAAAATCAAAACATTTACAAATTAGGCACAAAGTACAAAACACATAACATTCAAAATGAAACTTATTAAATGAAATTTATTAATTTAATACAAGGGGTTCTGTTTTGCGGAAACCAAATTGCAGTTTGCTTTGTGACTAGATGATTGGCTATTCTGAGTAGCTGCTTTTGCATTCATTGGGTCTGTATTAGAAGTATCGCCAAGGGGCATAAGTAGAGTCTAGTGGTTAAGAATGTGGACTCAGAGTTGGCTGGTTAGATCTGTTGGTGAGAATGTGGTGCTCATAACACCAAGGTCTGGGATTCAATCCTTGTACCAGCCAGCATTAAAAAAAAAAAAGAAAAAAGAAAAAAAGTCTCTCAGGAGCCAGCACTGCCTGAGTCTTCCATTTACCAGCTTTGCGACCTTGGTCAAGTTGCTCAGCCTTTCTGATCTGATGTCCCCATCTGTAAGATGGAGATAAGATAATTCTTCAGAGGAATGCTGGGAGGATTAATTGAGTGAAGATATGTAAAGTGTGTAGACCAGTGCCTGGCATGTAGGTATCAATTGTGCTCAATAGGTGGTATTGTCATTTTATTACTAGGTACCTGTGACATCAGTTCTCCTACTAGTTGTCTCTATATAAACTGCTTTTGCCCATTTTGTTTGTATAGGGCTGGCCGGTAAGGGGGTCTGAACTCTTGACCTTGGTGTTATAACACTATGCTCTATCCAAGTGAGCTAACTGGCCAGCCCTATATGAACTGCTGCAAAGCCTTTGGTTGTTAATATTTGTCAGATATCATTGTCATGAATCCTTCTCTGGGGGAAATGATTCTTAGCACTTGTAGCCCACCTCTGTGCTTTTTGCAGTGGCCCTTGTGTGCCAAAATAGTTGTTCGGCAAAACTGCAGGCTCCAAATCACTTGGCATGACTACTTTATAAAGTGGTCCTCCAGATTCTCCAGGCCAAGCTTTCTATTTATTGCACACCCATGTATGTACACATATATACATGTGCCTATAGGACATATACTTTTTCTCAGATTGTTTTCTAAATGAAACTACAGTGTTTTAAAATTTTTGAATAGAAAGTTTTTAAAAAACACTGCCCTGAGCCAAACAAAATAGGGAGGATTGTTGCCATTTCACAGTTTCATTTCTATGTTGCATTGTCTTCTGACTTTTCTTTCTTTTGCTTTTCATTCAGAATCTTGTCTCTTGCACTCTTTTCCACTTGATGCAAATGTCTCTTATTTTCATCAGGCTGTAAAGACCAGTACTGATTCTGGTGAAGCTTTATGAACTTGATTTCACCTTGACCTGAGTTCTGATTTGCTGGAAGCTCCAATTTATCACACAAGCTTCTTGCTTCTTGGGGGCATTTCTTTAGGCATTGTCACTCATTCTAACACTCAGTCTACTTTGATATTAAGATCTTTCTTATAGATTAGGATTCATTTATGATTGATCATCATTTTGGTAATGCTAATGAGCATTTCCATAAATTTGGCTTTTTTTTTTTTCCTTTTTGTCTTTTTTTGTGACTGGTAACGGGATCGCAACCCTCAGTGTCGCGCCCGTACCGCAACCGGCAGTGGGATCGCAACCCTCGGTGTTGCACCCGCACCGCGCTCAACCAGTGAGCCGACCGGTCTCTATATGGGATCCGAACCCTCGGCGGGAGCGCTGCCGCACTCCCAAGTGCCGCACTCTACGGAGTGCGCCACCGGGCCGGCCCTAAATTTGGCTTTTTTACCTAAAGTTTTATACTTGTGTACATAGAAACTAAGCAGTGTTATCAATGATAATAAAAACAGCTACATTAACAAGTTGAGGTTAACATTTATTACTTATTTTGTGCCACTCTACTAAGCATTTTGCCTGTATTATCTCATTAGGTCTCTGTCACAGCCATAAAAGGTGGGTGCTATTACTATTCCTGTTTTATAGATAAGAGAATCAAAGTCCATGATCTTTAAGAACCTAGATGGACTCAGGAGCCCTGGCTCTTAATCATTCACTGCACTGCCTCCCAGATGCCTTTCAGGAACTGGGACCTCACAGGACATTTGTCAAAAATCTGCCTCCCTAGTTTATTTCTGAAAGTGGCCGCATTCTGTCGCAGTGGTTTGGACACATCCAATTGGTTAGCAAATGTCCTTTCCTTCTCTGCCTGTGAAAACGACCCCTTTGTTTCTAGAATTCAACATTGCTCACTCCTTGAAAGTTGCACTCTTGGGTATTCATCGGTCTGTGTTTAGAGTGAGACCTTTCAGCAAGAACCAGCATGGGCCTGCCTCCCCCATAACTATTCCACAAACACCTTTCCAGCTTTTCTGATTGGTTACCTATTTCTTTTTTTTTTATCAAGATAGGATTCACATATCATAAAATTCACCATCTTAAAGTGTATAATTCAGTGGTATTTAGTATATTCACGAGGTTGTGCAACATTGCTACTATCTAATTTAAGAACATTTTTATCACCCTATAAGGAAACTCCTCACTTTAGCTATGGATTTGCCTATTTGGGACATTCCATATAAATGGAATGATACAATACATGGCTTTTTGTGGCTGGTTTCTTTCACTGAGTATGTTTTCAAGGTTCATTCATGTTATAGCATGTATCATGGCTGAATCATATTTCATTGTGGGAATATTCCACAATTTGTTTCTCCGTTCATCAGTTAACGGACTTACCCCCTCCACTTTTTGTCCATTATGTGTAATGTTGCTATGAACATTCACATACAAATATTTGTGTGGACACATGTTTTTAATTCTCTTAAGTAGTATAGGTAGAGGTAGAATTGCTGGGTCATCTGTTAACTATGTTTAACTTCTTTTTTTTTTTTTTTTGATGGTTGGCAGGTATAGGGATCTGAACCCTTGACCCTAGTGTACTGTGTTTAACTTCTTGAGGAACTACCAAACTGTTTTCCACAGCAGCTGTGCCATTTTATGTTCCCATCTCTAATGTGTTGTGTAAGAGACTTAACTTCACATAAAAAAGTGCCAACACTTGTCATTCTCTGTCTTTTTTATTACAGCCATCCTGGTGGGTTAGCGATATCTCATTGCAGTTGATTTGCATTTCCCTGATGACTGTTGATGTTGAGCATTTTTTGAAGGGCTTACTGGCCATTTGTATATATTCTTTGGAGAAATATCTATTCAAATCCTTTGCCCATTTTAAAATTTGGTTATTTGTCTTTTTTATTATTGAGTTGTAAGAGTTCTTTATATATTCTGGATACTAGACCTTATATGTGATTTACAAATATTTCCCCCCATTCTGTGGGTTGTCTTTTTACTTTCTTGATAGTATCCTTTGAAGCACAAAAGTTTTTAATTTTAATGAAGTTCAATTTATCTATTTTTTAATTGGTTGCTTATGGTTTAGATGTTATATCTAGGAAAACATTGCCTAATCCAAAGACATGAAATCTATACCTATATTTCCTTTTAAGAGTGTTATAGTTTTCACACTTATATTTGCATCTTTCATCCATTTTGAGTTAATTTTTGTATATGGTGTGAGATAGCGGTCCAACTTTATTCTTTTGCATGTGACTATGCACTTATCCCAGCAATGTTTGTTGAAAAAACTGTTCTTTCTCCATTGAAATGTCTTGGTGTCCATGTTGAAAATTAATTGCTCATAATTTTATGGGTTGTTCTTGACTATAATTAATGTCTTAATGTTTGGGGTTATGAGTAAGAGCAGAGCTCAGTGAGAAGACAATCAGGTTAGCTACTTGAGTTCTAAAATCCTCGTTTCCATAAACCCAAATTAAGGGGAACTTATGTATCTTCTGGACCTCCTTTAAGCCCTTAGGGCAGATGTGTGCAGTCTCTTAGGCTTCAGACAGCTTTGTTGCCACCTGACCCTGCATTTGTCCATGACAGACTTCACTTGTTTATAAGCAGAAGATGAAACAACAAATGGGTTTATTTTAGAAATGGAACTTAGATTCTCAAAAGCGTCAGGAAATGGAGGAGCAGTCACTAGCCAGTGCACATTCCAGAAAGCCTAGAGATATGTTTCTGTGCGGTGTGTGTGTGCAGCATGTATGTGTACAAAGGCAGTAACATTGTTTCCCTGTGGCCCCAGGAAGCACCAGAGGGGACAGGGAGTGACAGTGCCACTGGGAGGAGTAGGTGGACAGCCCATGTATACTTGTATACACCCTTGCACACCTTGCTTATACTGTTGGGGAGCCCCGGCCTGAGATGCTCTGTTCATGGAGGCTCTGCTGCAGACAGAGGGTTTTGTTTTTTTTTTTTAAAGATGACTGATAAGGGGATCTTAATCCTTGACTTGGTGTTGTCAGCACCATGCTCACCCAGTGAGGTAACCGGCCATCCCTATATGGGATCCGAACCTGTGGCCTTGGTGTTATCAGCACCACACTCTCCTGAGTGAGCCATGGGCCGGCCCTGCGGTGTTTTCATAAATATTGCCCAGACAACCATTTCTTTGGCTGAGTAGACTCTCCAGGCCCACAGTTAGCCTGTTCAGAATGGCATTCAGTTCCCATTCACACCAAGTCCTCTGTCTCTGCTTTTTGAGCTTTTCCACCTGACATCCTGGGCTCCACAACTCACTGTCTTCCTCATCTGTGCTAGTTCCAGCCAGGAAGAACCACTGGTGGGAGTGTTAGAGGAAAGCTGTGTGTGCATTAAGAGGGTGGTGTTTGTTTGTTTGTTTGTTTTAAATCATAAAACAGCAGTTTTCCATTCTTACTCCTGCCCCAATTGCCTTGGGCACTGTAGCCTGACATCCTGTCACACAGGTTTCTTTGTTTAAAAATTTCTAGGGTGTTGTCGGAATTCAGCAAAGCCCAGGTAAACTCTGTGCCAACCAACAGACTGAGCCAAGAATTGGAGATTCCCACGCTCCAAACCTTGCTGTCCCGCCACGGCCTCGACTCCAGCACACACCCACACTTTGATGTGCCGGCAGAGCTCCTTCCTGCCCAAGCATCCTCTGGGCCTCGCGATGGTGGCCACAAGCAGCAGCTGCTTTCCCAGGTGCCTGGCACCCTGGATTTGCAGCAGCCAGGCACTGCCCCAGCTGTCCCTGCAGAGAGCCAGGCCAGCAGCCTTCTAGTACCGGGAGAGACAACCAGAGCAGCCAGTCAACGGAGTGGCCTGCAGAAGGCCCTGGAGGATGACAGAGCTGGGCCGAAGCTTGTGGTTTCCTCACCCACCAGCCCGGTGAGTGGGGCAAGCTGTTCGGGAGAAGGTCATGGGGAAATGTGTCCGAGCTGATGCAGGGTTTCTCCAGCTAGTGACCCCGAGTGGTCTCTGCCTTCTCCCCATAGCCTCCCCATCCTTGTGGGGGGGAGTGTTAATAGCATTGAAACGATGGCGCTGATGTGTCTTGGTGGGTGAGTAGTGGAAATAAGCCAGGCACTGGGCTGGTCACTTCCCATAGTCTCCTGTCATCTTCACATTGACCCTGTGAAGAAGGTCAGTCCCATCTGACCGCAGTCTTGGCCCTTAACTAATCTAAGTCACCAACATATAAGGCCTTAGGCAAGTCACTTCACCTCTCTCTGCCTCAGTTTCCTCCTTAGTACTTATTAAATTAATGTTTTCAAAAAATACCAGGCTTTGAAAATACTCACTTTATGACTTGAACTGGGTTTTAGAACTGCTGTCTGGTGTGACAGCTACTAGCCACACTTGGCTATTGAGCACTTAAAATGTGGCTAGTCCAAATTAATTGAGATGTGCTGTGTAAAATAAGCACTGGTTTTTGACAACTTAGTGTGAAAAAAAGAATGTTAAATCTCATTAATAATTTTTTATTGATCACATGTTAAAATGAAAATATTTTGGATATATTGAGTTAAATAAAATGTATTATTAAAATAATTTCACCTGTTTCTTTTTACTTTTTTTTATTTTTGTTTTTTGGTCACTGGCTGGTACCAGAATGCAAACCCTTGACCTTGGTGTTACCAACACAGTGCTCTATCTGAGCTAACCAGCGAGCCCATCTTTTTAGTTTTTTTAATGTGGTTACTAGAACATTAAAAATTACATATGTGGCTGGTATTGTATTTCTGTTGGACAGAACTGTTCTAGAATAAGCCAATATAGTCTGTTGAAAACCCCATTAAGCCAGCCCTGGGCATCGCCTTGAGAGAGCCATGGGTGGAGAGGCTTGAGAACTCTTAGCCCAATGAAGTGTCAGTCAAAGGCTGTGAACTCCAGCTCTTTACCTTTTTCATTTATGCTTGTGTGGCCTTTCAAGTTTCTCCGACAAAGTTATTGACTTTTATTGAGTGTCAGTAGGAAAGGTATGTGTGTGGTATCCACCCCTTCTGTAATTGAAGCCCCACCTGCCTAGCCAGGGCAGGGGGACCTACAGAGAAAGTGCACAGGAGGGAAGGCGAGAGTGTGGGTCAGGGTTCGTGCCAAGCTGAAGGGAGAGAGAATGAATTCCTTTATAGGTTTGGGTGCCTCTGACTACTTATCTCTCTGGGTTTCACACTTACACTGTACCAAGGAGGGTCAAGGAGAGTAGAAGTGGGAATTTGTATGCTCATGTGCACAGGACACACAGTGCCAGCGTTTATCCCAGCTGTGGGCTGGGGCTCACAGTGGGATATAGTCTTGCTTTTTCAAATCCATCTGTGCTCATCTCTCCTTTGGGTGGTAGCTTCTATACTGTATAATTCAGGATGGGGCCAGGGCCATGAAATAGATGGGCAGAGGCACATCCCCTCATTATTTTAGAGGGTTTTATTGAGATATAATTTACATACCATACGATTCACTTAATTAAAGTATAATTCACTGTTTTTTAGTATATTCATGGGGCTGTGTACCCATCACCATGATCTAATTTTAGAACATTTTTATCCCCATAAAAGAAACCCCCTACCCATTAGCAGTCACTCCCTACCTTTCTCCCCTTCCCCTACCTCACCCTCCTCAACCTGTGCAATCACCAGTCTACTTTCTGTCTCTAGTTTTGCCTGTTCTGAACATTTTATATAAATGGATTCATATAATATGTGACCTTTTGTGTCTGGCTTCTTTTCCCTAGTGTAACGTTTTAAAGGTACATCCATGTTGTAGCATGTATCAGGACTTCATTTCTTTTTATTGATGAGTAATGTTACATAGTATATTGCATTGTATGACTGTGTCACATTTTATTTATGCATTCATCAATTGATGAACATTTGGCTTATTTCCACTTTGGGACTGTTATAAATAATGCTGCTACAACATTTATTTATAAGTTTTAGTGTGGACATATGTTTTTATCTTTTTTTGGCAGCTGGCCTGTATGGGGATCAGAATGGACATACGTTTTTAATTCTTTTGGATGCTTAAGTAGGAGTAGAACTTTTGGATCATATGGCAACTATATTGAACTTATTGAGGAACTGCCAAACTGTTTTACAAAGCAGCTGCACCACCAGTAATTTATTTCTCTATATCCTCACCAACAAGGTTGTTACTATCTAGTTTTTAAAAAATTACTATAGCCATCCTAGTGGTTGAGAAGTGGTAGCTCATCGTGGTTTTGATTTGCATTTCCCTGATGGCTAATAATGTTAAGCATCTTTTCATGTGTTTATTGGCCATTTGTGTACCTTCTTTGGAGAAATGTCCTTTCAAACTTTTGCCAATTTTTAAATTGGGTTGTCTTGAGCCAAGCCGCGGGTTCGGATCCTATATAGGGATGGCCAGTGCGCTCACTGGCTGAGCACAGTGTGGCCGATCTCACAAAAAGACAAAAAATAAATAAATAAATAAATAAATTGGGTTGTCTTTTTATCACTGAGCTTTAATAATTCTTTTT